GCTGATTTCTTATATCAGAGTGGTTGCTTGGATAGGTTTGAGGAAGACAGAGGAATGAAAACATTAACTTTTGGCTCTTTGTTAGTCTCAGCTGTGTGTTTTACCCTTGCATCCCAAAGGAGTTTCATAAGGAAAAGAGAGCTGATGCACCCTGCTTTTTGTTCATATTGAAATATGAATGATACAACAAACTTGCTTGCAAGGATGTACAATATTCTTTTGTGTTCTAGAAAATATTTTAGAATATTAAAACTCAGGTACTTTCAGACTGTTAATCTTGGGTATCCAGATTTTACAGGTTTTCATTCCTAGCTGTAACTGCAAAAGGGCTTAGTGTCAGAGGTTATAAAACAGTGAAAGTCTCATCTGATAAATCGGTGTAAGGACTGTAGAGTCAAAAATCTTCAGTCTGCCAGAGAGAAGGTAAAACTTGTCAGACTGGGCATGCAAATGACAGAACTTCAGATCGTAGAATTGGCATTAGCCTTTCTGACAAAAAAATATATTTCAATTGCAATGGTGGGGGGATTTCTACTGAATGTGGATATTTCAGAAGCAGAGATAATACGTTCAGATTTGATTTTGAGTTTGTTTTTTTTGGTTTTGGGGTTTGTTTGTTTGTTTGTGCCTGTTTGGCACAAGCAATCAAATTTGGCTGCAATAGCCATTATTAAAGAACTTACTTGCAGTACCTATCAGTTAGGGTTATTGCTATTGGAAGTATGTAAAATCTCCTCCTTTTTTATTGGGGGAATACTCAGAGTATTCTGAGTGCACAAGTGTGTACTCAGCCCATTGTGTACTGTGAGCAAGGGGGGTCTCAAGCTGTTTGTTTCTTCTTGCCAAGCAAAACATAGCTGATTTAAAACAAACAAAATAATTCCAAATGACAATAAAAACCATGCCAGTTTTGCAACTAGGTATCCTCTAGTTCTTGCAGGATTTCTTGTGTTAGCACCTATTGCCTGGTATACTAAGTCTATCCATCTAGACGTATGTTCCTTGTTCTTTCCACTCATCCTGAGAAAATACTTCATAGCTTGAGACAGGTATTTGAGACAATTGATTGTTTCTGTCAAAGAGAGACAATCAAAAAGTCTTTTAGGTAAAAGACTTAAATACAGCACCAATACTTTGTGAAATACCAGCAGCATTGCTGTGTTGCTGAGTGCTGCTGCTCTTTGTCACCACTCCCCAGAGTGGTTTTTGGAAGTAAATCATCTAGTCAGACACCTGCTCATCACATAGGTTCATCACAAGCTGACCTCCTCTGTCACACCACCTGTTGTAAGAAATAAAGGTCACTGGCACACAAAGTTAAATTCACTGTGTGTAAGCAGGCATGATGCCCTTGATTTAAGAGGAAGGAAGGTGTGTGCATTACAGCACTGATAAATGTGTCCCTAAGAGTCATCCAGCCTGAATTCAGAAGTGAAGTTCCTCCTACCAACAGAACAATGAGTGATGGTTTTCTCACTGCGCTGAGCTGGAGACCTGCATAAGGATGACACCATTGAGGCAGGACAGTGTGAAATCACTACAGAAGGCGAGAGAATAGAACTCTGATGTATTTAAAATATATCTCTTTTATAAAGAGTATCATCTAGACCAATTCTGTTGGTCCTAGAGTAGAAACATTTCACTCCATTGCTGTGCAGTGAGTGACTCACAGTGGCAGAACTTATCTATAAACAAAGTGAACAACAAAAGAGATAAAGAATTATTTATATTCTTTCCCAACTGTTTCCCAGACTTCTGCCTGGTTAGAAACCTTCATTTCTCTCTGACTGAACTGAGAATGTCTGCATAAGGAAATTGTTCTGGTTTTCAAAGCTAGAGGTAGAACTGGTAACTGGAAATTTCAGGTCAAATGCATCTGTAATGGATACACCAGGCAGTCTTTAGAGACACAGGAAGGCACTGAGGGTACATTTCAATAAGTTGCACTTCGGTGTTTCTTGCCTGAGATCATTCAAGCTCCAGAAAAACTGAACTGAACAGATGTGGAGTCCTTGACTTAAATTAATTCTGCTCAGATGAATGTACTGCACTGTACTTAAATAGGTGTCATTAAGCACCTTTCACAGCTTTTTAGCAGGTGTTAAGCACAAAAAATAGATCAGTTGAAAGAAAGGGAGAGATAAAGAGTAAATTTGCTGTAGAGTGTTTAGTATCTATCCAAAGCCCAAAATGGCTTCACTTTAGAGTGCTGCAGATGTGTGCAGTGTGCTTCCAACTGCTCTCATTTGCAGTCTTGCTTTTGTCAAAGAGAAAAAAGCTATGTAATGGTATTGCTTTAGCTCCACTGGAGTCAACCACAAAATTTGCATGGACTTGAACAAAAACTAGACATAAACCTAAGGGTCGTCTAAAACTGGCAAACAGAATGGGGTAAAAAACTGAATCCTAGAGTTGCAGGCTTTTTCTCCATTAAGATGGGGACTGGAAAGTAAATTGTTAGGTCTAACAAAAGCTCTAGATTGGTAAATCTTTTTTTTTTTTTTTTTTT